TGTGTGTGTGTGTGTGTGTGTGTGTGTGTGTGTGTGTGTGTGTGTGTAGCAGTATCTCTGAGCCAAGGACCCCTCTGGGGGTCCTCAAATCACATTCCTCACTTAAGCGTTCTTTTTGAAGAAAGGAAAAATAAAAAGGAGGTTATGGATTGCTTTCCTCCCACACTCCCTGTATCTTATTACTAAATTTTGTTATTTAGCATAAGTTAGAAAGGGTATGTGTGCTTGGGGCACGGCAGTGACTGAAAGTGTCATGAATCATTTATTTGCCCACCTCTGTTGTCACCCTTTCACCTTGGAACCCGGGAGGAGTTGTGAGCAATGGCCTCGAAGCGTTTCCAGTCTTCAGGGTAATAAACCTCAGTGTCCTTCTCTCCTTCTCCTTCCTGTGCTGCCCCGTAATGGGCTGCTGCGCATCTGGCCCAGGAAAGAGGCCCAAGGAAAGCGTGCAGGCGATAAACAATGTTTCCTGTTACAAATGAATGAGACAAATGTGCACACCTGACACCTCTGCCACTGTCTGAATGTAAACTTCATTAGCCCGGATGCGTGGGGTGGTGCACGGACTGTGGGCAGCTGTTAGTTAAAGCGAGATCCCCGTACCAGACCCTTACCTGGAATACCCCCAAAGGGCTTTCAGAATGGGGTTTGGATGACTCTCCTGCCCTCACTTCACATTGGCATGCGCCCCCCATCCCCACTGCAGGTAGCCCTGGTTTGTGGGAATATCCTAGAAGGGGTCCCAATGTGGCCATATCCACCTGTACCTTGGACAAGGCAGTTGTGGAATTTCCACGCTGGGGGCTTAAGGGTGACCTGCAGCTGAAGGTGGGGGCATTGGCATATCCTGAGGACGGGTCCACAACTGCATGTTTGGTGAGGTAGTTTGAGAGGAACTGATGGTGACAATGGAGGGGCCAGAGCTGCTCCCGCTCCCACGCTCCAGCACTGCCAACCTCCTCCCCGCACCTGACTTTCTACCCTCCAGGACCCCTCCTCCCAGGCAGTGGGGGCCAATTCTCACAGCTGGTGACCCAGGCCCCTCCTGGCACCCTCAGTGGAGCCCACGCTGAGAAGACCATTGCTGAGGGCTTGTGGATGCTCTGCTGGAGGGCCCCATGTGCTCACTCAGTCCGAGCAGCTGCTGGACTCTGGCACACTCTGATGCTATAAAAATATCAGCACTGCCGCCCCAGCTCCTGGAGAAAGTCTCAGCGTGACAGCCTGCAAAGCAATCCTACTTTTGAATTTCATCTACAAATCGTGGTTTCCTCCAGACAAGCTCAAACCTGCACAGATGGCCCCTCACACCAAAAAGTAAAAATAACAAAGCTTGTAATTCTGGGCCTCCCTTTTTCTCTGGGAAGATGTGCTGCTGCACGTTTCAGGAGGCATGCAGCCTGTGTACGGCAGCAAGCCCTCCCCTCCTGGACACTCTCTCTCGCCCCTTCTGGCGCGCTGGTGGGGAGCAGTCATGGCCCCTCGGGGTGTGTTCTTGGAAGTGTTTCTGGGGTGTCCGAGCCTTTGGAGTGGGGCAGGGAGGTCCAAGGCGGGGAGTTAGAGTGAAAATTCATCCCTCAACCAACTACCCAAGACTGGCCATATTGCCATCCATGAGACAGTGTGGGGAAATGGTGGAGGGTTTGGAGTAAGGCCTCAGGTAAGGTAGTAACAGTGGGGGCAAGAGGCTGCCATGCATGCCGAAGGCAGGTGGCATGGTGGGAGACAGGAAGCTCTGGGGCTCCTGATTTACTGAAACCCCCACCTCCACACCCCAGCAGGCCACAGGAGCTTCGATGACCCATTAATTCTTTCCACCAATGTTTGCTGAGAGCATCTATGCTAGGTCCTGAGGATACAGTTATAGACAAGACAGACCCAGAGGGCACAAGCCCAGAGAACACACAGTCAAGGTAATCTGTGGGCTGGGTGGCCATAGACCCACTAGTCAGGAAGGCCAGAGCAGGAGGCCAGGAGAGAGACAGAGGAGGTAGGAGCCCCTGCCAGAGACTATGAGAGACACTTGTAGACTGGGTCCAGTGTGACCCAGCACCCCAAAGGCTCACACTTCTTTCTCATTCAGAAATGGTGGCTGCGGTCTTGGCTCCACCAGAGGGTCATATGACAGAAAGATTTCAGTGGCAAGTGAAACACAATTCAAACTGCCAGGAGAAAAAAGAAATTCTTGGATACAGGCGTCTGGACAGCCCAGGGACGTATCTACCCTCAGGCACGGCTGGATCTGGGTGTTTGCATGCTGTCCTCAAGAATCTATCTCCCTTGCTCAGCTCAGCTTTGTTCTTTGCCGACCTCATCCTCCATGTGGCATCTGCTGGTATCTCCAAGCTGATATTCCTACCAGTAAGCCCCTCCTCAATCCCTAGCCAAGGTCCTGGGGATGATTCTCATTGGTCCAGTGTGGGTCACATGTCTGTGCCTTCTCTAATCACTGGAGGAGGATGCACTGCCAGGAGGATGCAGTGCTCTGACTAGCCAGGCAGGAGCCAGCCGGGTTGGAATCAGTCCCATCTGAACTACCTGGTTTCACAGAAAGGGTGAAGGGATGCTGGTCTGGAGAAAGCAGCAAATACAGAAACAAACAACAATGAAACCCTCCCAAAAGATGGTTGACAGCAAACATGTGAGCATGCTCTGAGACAGCTGCAAAAATCCTGCTTCCAACAAGGTTCTTCTTACTGCAGGTGTGTGGCCACTGTCATTCATCCCTTCAGCATCCTTGACTCCACAGTGCTGGCGTCTGTGCCAGGCCCGGGATGCAGGGAAGGTTCTGGACACCCCGGTAGGGAAGCCTGCCCCAACACCTGGCCTCAGGGGTAGGAGCAGCCCAACACTGAAGTCTGCTTCACCCTCAAACCCTGCAATTTTCCTCTCTGGTGTCTGCTAGGTTTTCTTGTGTTTTGCTTCCATCTTCCTTTTCCTTAGACCAGCTCGTGAGATCTCCCATCTGGCCTGGAGGAAAAAAGACAGAGATCAGGAGGGTCCTCGCTAGCCAAAGCCCCAAGCCTAGGCCTCTCATGCACAAAGCCTCTATTTGTCACCCAGAAGACCACTGTGCATAGATTTGCTCTCCTTATTAGAATAAGGGTCTGAGTCCAACATCCCACTGCAGTTCAGGGAGGCTCTGTCAGAACAGGTACAGCCAAACGTGTGGCCCTTGGTCCAAGGATGGGGGTTGGGCAAAGCAAGTGGCATTATCGGAAAAAGACATGCTGAGACTGGCTAGTAGGTAAATAAGCTGGGAGGAGGCAAATAGAAGGGTTCAGCTTCTGGGCCACCACACAGCCTTGTGTCATTGTCCCCACGTGTCTCAGGGAATGCACCTGGGCAAGTCGTTGTTTGACGGTGCATTCACAGTAACTTCCTTAAAACAGATCTTTAGGGAAGAACTGGCTTCAGGGATTGATTGGGCTCAGATTCAAACAGCAGGAAAGCAAAGTTCTCAGTCTTGGCCTGAGGGCTCCCAGCAGTGTGCACGGCACTGTTGTAAAGGCTCTGGTTTAGTTATTTAGTTCTCCCACAACCCCATTTCAGAGAAGAGCAAACAGATACAGGGAGATTCAGCAACTTGCCCAAGGTCATGGGGGGAGGTGGAGGGGGGGTCAGGGGCTGGTTTCGGGGTCAACGGCTGGTTTCAGGGTCCGTGGCTGCACTGCATGAGAAGCCCGGGCCTGGTTAAGGGTTGGGGCCCAGGTATCTGCTCTCGGGGACTGCGAGGACTGCGGGCCCTGTGGCGGCCCCGGCCGCATGTGCCTCGGAAGAGCGCTCGTTAGCCCCCTGGAGCCGGGCAGCCTAGCTTCTGTGCCCGGGACACGCTCTGCTAGGAATCCTGTGCACTCTGCTCGCCCCTCCCTGGCACCCCGGCCCCAGGCGGCCGCCGACTCTGAGTGCTGCGCTTCCAGGTCACGCTGCGCCGACGGAGGAGCAGGAAGAGAGGTGAAGGAAGCTGAGGAGGAAGAGGAGGAGAGAGGACGGAGGAATGCCTGAGTGGAAGTCGGCTCCGGGTAGGAGCGCTGAGTGCTCTGCGCGCCGCTGCAGGGGATGCTGACGACCCCCGGCTCCGGGAAGAGACGGGTGGGCCGGGAGGCGGGCCAGAGGTCCCGACCAGGTCCATCCCCCGACCCCGACACCCTGGCGGAAGCTATCATGACGACGTGCTGCGCGCCGCCTCTTGAGCGTCCTCTGGAGGCGGGCACCACTACTACCTCACTGTACAAACTGGGAATCTTAGGCTTCGCTGAGTGTCCCAGGCCAGGCCCAGCCCCAAGGGGCGGGAGCAGGACGCCAGGAGCAGGAACCCGACCCCTACACAAAAGAGCCAGGCTGCCTGCGTCGGGACTCTGGCCACACGTCTTTGGAAAAGTTTCTTAGCCTCTGACGGCTCCGCTTTCCCCATCTGTGAAATAGGATGGCGCCCACCTCACCGAGTTATCAAAGGTTTATTACGTCCCTTAGGCCAGAGCCTGACACTGCCGAGCCGACTCAGTGTTGGCCATTGCTAGCAGGGTTTTAGCTAAATGCGAGAAACTGAGCATCAGTGGGGTGCACGCAGGACTGGCCCTGGCCGCTGCCTCCCAGCCCGCAGGCCGCGCGCTGCCGCAGCCGACGAGTCTCCCTCTGCGAACAGCTAGCTAACACCGCCTTCACGGATCAGGTTGCTCTCCACGTGCGGCGTGTTTACCCACGTGATTCTGACACGCCCACCGTTCCAGGGCCCCGCCCCCGCCCCGCCCCGCCTCGCCTCTCCTCGCCTCCTTGGCTCTCGGCTGAAAGCTGTCGGCTGCGGCTGCTCGGCGCTGGCTGCACGGAGCGCGACCTCGCGCCACCCCGACGCCTGCCCAGCAGACTGAGCAGGTCGTTCACTCCTTAGGCAGGCTAGGCTCGGGCACTGCGCTGGATCCGCGCCTCAACGGGGCGAGCAAGGGGTCTGGTCCAACGCAGAGGCTCTGCGGGGTGCGCCCGCGGAAGGGGCGGGGCCGGAGCGGCTGGGGGCGGGTCCATGGGCGGGGGCCCTTCAGAGTGCACCCAGCGGAAGGGGCGGGCCCGGGGCGGGATTGTGGGCGGGGCCCTTCCTGCGCAGGCGCTCCGCAAGGTCGGGCCCGGGGCGTGGCCGTCCCGGGGGCGTGGCGGGCGTTTTCGGTGCTGTGCAGCCACAGTGTGCCGGAACTGCTGCGGGCCCTTGTGTGTTCGCTGTTTGCTAGACCCTGCTACCGAGAGACAGAACGTGTTGAAGGTCGGTCATTCGCGGAAGGGCACATTCAGTGCCGCATTCCTCTACAATTTCAGCAGAGCCGCTCCCTCTTCCCTGGTTTTGTCCCCTTGACTTTCTCAGCCGCCCTTCCTGCTGTCTCTTCGGCGTCCTCTGCCCCTCTAGTGTTGATGTTGCACAGGGCTCTGGCGTCAGAACCCTTGGCTCCTAGGCTGATCCTGGGAGATCTGGTCCACTCTCTGGTATTAACTCCCATCTCTGTGCGCATAATCCTGATAGTTCTACCAGTAGCTAACACATATGTGCTAGGGCACTTTTCTACGCACTTTGTGAACATTCACTGATACCACTTGGACACATTACACCTAAATCTTTGTCTCCCAGTCCAGACTACTGCCCTCAGCTCCATATCTTTCCATCCAGATGCCCGCTGGACCCCTCACTAGATGTTCCACAGGCCCCTCTGAGCAAGCACATCTGAAGTGGAACCCACCTTGCCCCAAATCTGTTTCTCCCCAGATCTCCCCCTCGGTGAATAACATCACCATTACCTCAGCCACCAAACAGGGCTTGAGTTCGGTTTTTCCTTTTTTCTTTTACTTAGATTTCACCTATAAGGGATCTCATACAGTATTTGTCATTCTCTGTCTGACATCTCACTTAGCCTAATGTCCTTAAGGTCCATCCATTCTGTCAAATATTATTGTGAAATCATCCTCAACGTAGAAAACTAGAGAATGAACAGGCTAATTAACCTAATAAAAGAATTGAACAAAGGCAACTTTATAAGATCAGAATATAAAGTCAATAATGGGAACCTTGACAATAATAATACGTTTCTTGAAAAAGTAATCAAAATAAGACAACTTGCATGATACTGAAGTATAGGAATTCACCTAACAAAAAATGTGCAAGAGCTTTAGGGGGCTAACTCTAAAATTCAAATATATCGATTTTTTAAAGGGACTTGAATACACAGATAAATAATGGGATAACATCTTAACCTTGAAAGAATGTAAACCCCCCACCAAGTGATCTATATATTCAATACAATTCCAGTAAAAATTCCAACCTGATTGTATTGGAACTTGGGAAACTGATTCTACAATGTATATGGAAGAATTAAGGTCCATGATATGCTAAAACAATTTTGAAAAAGAAGAACAAAGGGAAGGTCTTGCTCTATAGGCATTAAAACAGATTACAAGACCATAGTAATTAAAATATTGGGATATTGGTACAGAAACAAATAAATGAATCGAATAGTTTGGAAAGCCCAGAATAAATTCATTTATAAAAGTTGGTATGTGATAGAGAAAAAATTACAAATGAGTAGAGAAAGTCTAGATTATTTAGTAAGTGGCTCTGGGAATATTGATTTTTCTATAATGGAGAAAAAAATAAAATTGGATCCCTACCTCAGACCTTATACATAAACTCTAAATCGATTAAATAATTATTAAAGGTGAGAATATAATGCTAATAAACTAGAACATAGGATAAAATCTCTGTGATAAGAAAGGATTTATCATTACCTCAGAAGCTTAATCCATGAGGAGGAAAATGATGGATTTGATGACACCAAATGGAAACAACATGGAACATGTTGCTCTACTATAGATAAAATCAACATACAGGTGACAAGCTAGGAGAAGGTATTCTTCATGCCTTAAACCAACATATCTATATTCTAGGCTATAACTAGAATAATTAAGGAACTCCTGAAAATCAGTCCAAAAAAATAAAAATAAAGGAAACCTAATTTTTAAAAACTGGGCAAAAGATATGTATAGGCTGTTCCCAGGAGAAATCAGAATGACTAAGGTATACAAAAGAGGAGAGTTATCCTCACTGGTGATCAGAGAAATGCAAAGTAAAGGAATGAGGTGCCACATTACCCCAGTCAACTGACACGACTCAGCGGGTCAGATGGTATGAAGTGCTGCTATGGAGGGATGGGAGAGCGTGTGACAGGTGCAGTGAAATTAAATATGCATGTACATTTGCAGAGCTCAGACTACGGTGACGGAAGTGAGGCCCTCACTGTCAGGGCAGACCTCCACTCGCGTGGAGGTCCATATGCGCTCTGGGCGCCTCACTGCCTCCCTCTGGTCCTGGCCTTGTACCTGGGGACTCAACAGTTCCGCTCTTGCATATGTACCTAGAGAAACTTCCTCAGAGGCCCACAGGCAAAGGCATTCCAGTTCGTTTATGACAGCAGCTATGTACGTATCTCCCACAAGGGAACTGGACAAGTAATATTTGGTATGTGAAGATAATGACAGGGTCTTTCGTGGTGAACAAGGATTGCCCAGCTCTTGGCCTCTGGGGAGGAGGGTGGAAACCTGGTGAATAAAACTGAGAGCAAGGCAAAAGGACTTCCATCCACATTTTGTCTGGGAGGGTTTCTGAGCCTTTGTCACTGATCCTCCTGCGCCCTCCGCCAAGAGGTGCATTTGGACTTGGCAGGGAAGAGAGAAAGTTGGAAGGTGCCCTGAGGTTACCTGTGAAGGATTAGGCATATTTTCACTGTCACATAAAGAAACAGAGGCCAGAAGTTTCAAGATCTGGCTCCCGTGTCAAGGCAGAAAGGATTTAGAGAGTAAAGCTTGGACTCCGGAGTTTACACACATAGGGTCTAATCCCTTTTTAACTTCCTATAGATGTGAATTTGGGCAGGAAACCCAGAACAGTGAACTTCAGTTTTCTTTTCAGTGAGATGGGAGTAAAAATAAGGCTTAACACAGAGAGTTAACATGAGGAGTCAAAGGAGAGAAGATATCTGAAACCAGTTCTCTCCTTCCCTGTCTGTTTCTCAAACAGCATGGACAAGTAAGGATTCTTTAGGAATTTTTGCACACTTTTCTAATCTTCAGATAGCAGTCTGGAGGTCTTTCAGGAGAAGCTCGGGGCCAGGGAATGCAGCTCAGTGGGTGGCAAATGGAATCATCCGTCAGATTCAGATATTTCCATCCCAACCTTTCCAGACTTCAGGCTGTAGGTTAGAACCAACACTGTTTTGGATATTGCTCAGCTCTGGAAGCTTCGGAACAGCCCCCTGTGGGAGGTGGTCTCCTTACCCCAGTCCACAACTCTGACAACTCTCATTTCAAAGAGAGAGAACTGCATTTTCTTCATTCAATGTTAAATTATTTTGTATTTAAATGAGAAATAGAGCCACATTGAAAAATAATAATATCAGTGAAAACTGTAATAATCAGCACCACCCTATCCCAACTGTTGTTAGCATCTGTGGTGTAGGTCTGCTGTTCCTCCATTTAGCCTCCTTTCCTCCTGGTAACAGTTTCCTATCTTCCACTGGGGAACCAATCCTCCTGTTCTCAGATTGTGGGATTTGAGTTGGGTTCAGTCCAGATCAGCTCTGCAGGATCCATTACAAAATGAAAATGCAAGGCCACTTGGTCAAAAATTATTAAGAATTTCAAGATGCTACAGCAGAGCGTTAAACCAAGGTAAGGACCCTATGAGGCTGCACCCTTGAAACCAGCCCTGGGTGGGTGCATGACTCAGGTTTTGCCAATGAAATTCAAAACTTTTGCCAGAAAGAGGCTCTCACTTTTTGCTTAGATTACTAGATCAGTAAAAAGATAAGCCTGGAGTTGTTGACTGCCATCCTTGTCTCACCACGGGGAGAGCCCTTGCTGGGAAAACATAGTCCAGGAAGAGATGGACTTCCGGTAATATAATGTGAGATGTTGAGCTACAGCTCTCAGAAGCACAAGTCATTTCATTCTGTCTTAGGCTTCAACTCGTTTGAGGTACATCTAAGAATTAAGATTCCTGGAGCATTTCACTCTGTCTTTATGTATATTCACTAAGTTGTAATCATAAAGCACATGTAATGTTATATGCTTTTCAAAAGTTACATTATACCATGAACTTTCCTGGTGTTATTACAGTATTCATAGGCTGTATTGTTTATAGGTTGGTGCTTTTAAAAATACTTTTGTGATACACATCACAACGCATGTAGTTTGGGGAGAACATTTTTTGATGTGATATGATATGCCTTTTCATTTCGACCCTACATAATTATGAAGTTTCACTAGGATTTGGAATTTTTGCAACAGCCCAGGTGGGAGGGGGTGCTGCAGGATAGGGACAGCCAGCCATTTACAGCCTTGGACACAAACTCCCTGTGGGGCTTGGTCTGAGAGGGTGGTGGTGTGTGAGTACAGCCCTTGAGCTTCGAGTGAAGGGGCAGACAGCCCCTGGAAATGTTTAGTGTCACAGCAGGAAGCTTTCATCTAGTCCAACCTCCTCGTGTCACAAATAGAGAAATTGAGGCCCAGAGAAGGGAAGTCAGCAAGTTAGTGCAGAATGGGGCCTGGAACCCTGTCTTCACCATTTGGGTGCTCATTTAGGCAGCCTTCGGCAAGCACCT